CGGCGAACACTTAACGCAAGCTAATCGATGAATAACCAAAGTTGGGAAAGGCGATCCAGCTTTGAGTGGGCTCCGAATGTCGCTCGAAGGGTGACCCATCTAAAATATCTTCTAAACTAGCGGGTTTTCAGGAAGACTATACAGCTGGCTGGAAAAAAGAAATGTTGGGCATTCTGTAGGCAATTTTGTTTCGCAAAAGGTTGGATTCGAAATAAAGGTATTCTGGTTGAAGGCATAAAAAAGGCGCTGCGCGATTCCACCACTAATACGCCGCTAACCCAACGAAATAGTTCACAGAGGGGAAGACTCTCGCTGGCGTAAGTAGGTTGAAAAAGCAGTATTTAAGACATTGCTTCATATGCTGCCTTCGTTTAATTCCGCCATTTGCTTCTTAAAAGCCCCCACACCTAAAAAAGCTATCACTCCCAGAAAAAGCTCCGCGATTTCCACCCGTGCATAAATCTGCTCCACCGCTAATTTGCCATGGAATCATAACGCGGCCACAAGCGCTTGTTGGTCGTTACGCATCTAATACTTCACGTCAGAGCAACTAATCGGAGGCCGAAAGGGGGGGGTCGTATTCAGGGTCGCTCTTTTGCAGGAGGCGTTCTGACAACACGACAGCTAGTACATTTTTTAATACAAGTGTACGCTATTCTCCCTGTTGGCACTCAATGTGTGCTTGCAAGTGCATGGGGTGGCCGATACGCAATATGTTTTTTTCAATCTTCCAGACAAATCTGGATAGGCAGTCAGCTCACCTCAGAAAAGTAAAAGACTAGGTTCATATGAGTACACTTGCTCCGAGATCTCTGATCCGTATTGGAGCTGGGTAACCTTGTCGTCCCAGTACTGGGGCAAGACACTCGAAATCGGGGCGCGTGTAGCTGAAGTTTATTCGAAAATAGCGTGGAATATTTCCATTTGAGACGACATTCATCCTGATATTTCCATTTGAGACGACTTTCATCCCATCTTGTGCTAAAAAAGATATGGTTGCGAATGTCCAAAGAATGCAATACTCTCGCAAAAGCACAGCCGCCGCCGCGCTTAAAGGCAGTGAGTACGATGGCTGGGAGCGGGCGGTTGCTGCCAACGTCACTGATGGGAATGCTGGGTAGGGTACCACCAAATGCCCCCTCGCAGCCCTTCCACCAATGACGTTGGTAGGGTCCGCCCGCCCCACCATCATGCCCACTGCCTTTCAACGAAGAGCGCAGACAAGCCCACTCCACATACGGGCTACGGAGTGCAGCATGTTTCCAAACAAGATATTCAGCGGAGTTGTACAGACGAAACAAAACAGATTCGCCATCGATTACATCTGCAATGCTCTTTTTGTGACTTGCAAGAGCTCCCCAACGGAGGTCCCCTAGGCGGTCTAAAAATGTTTCCGTTGCCCTAGTACTAGTACAGACCCCAAAGTGTTCCAATGCAAAAACTTCTATTTCAGAATACGCCTCTCAAAAACGATTTCTACTCGGCCAATGGGACAATTGAAATTACATTCAAATATGAATCAGGACGTAAGTCAATCAACCTTCCCATATCAGATCCATATCAACTACCTTGCCTCCACTACTTTTAGCGTGGCCACTGGGAATAAAGGATTTGGACGTGATACCAATGTTCCATCTAATCACATGCGCTGAGCCGGATCTCACTCAGGGAGTACCGCTCCCAGATTTTGTAAGTTTTGAGAACTGAATGTCGTCAGCCGGTGTTTAATGAGGTAAACCTCACTGAGATATTTCAGATGAGAGGCAGTCTTCCAAATACACTAGTGGGTCGTTTGGGTTCGGACATGATGTATAGAAAATGTCGATTCGTCTACTATGCTCAGAGCATTTCGAGCAGAAGATGTGCTACGCAGACGGAAATTCGCACACCACCTTCGGCAGACCTGCAGAACACTGACCATCAGTACGTTACTCAAGAATTGATCAAAACTCGTCGCTGATTGAAATTTTTTTTTCATTTGGCTTGTTCACCGCGAAATCTGAGCTGCTATTCCTCTTCTTTGTGTAGGCCGCGTTCTTTCCGCGCAGTAAAGCACGGCACCACGACGTAGACATGAGCAGGTTTCCGAAACAGCAACTTCTATAGCGCTGTTCTGCCCACCTTTCCAGTCTGCACAGTAGTTCTAATTATGCTGTGTATACTGAATAGTTCTTAATTACTACTCGTTTTCAATATAAATCATCCACATAGATAAAAACGAACCAATCAAAAAGCAAGGAAAACGTTGTAGGAACTTCGGCGAACTTCCAGAAGGGGCGTCTACATGCATGGCTGCGCTTCAACACCTCGGAAAATGGGTGATACGGTTTTTCCGCTCCTCTACTTTTGAGTATTGTCCTCACTTTCTGAAAGCGAGCGTTCATTCTTGAGTTTAAGCGTTGATCGCTGTTTGTCGGGACTGGATTAATCTTCAGTGTAGAACGTTGTTAGTTAATAACTGGGCGTACACGGCTGCCCTTTGGATTTTCCAATAGAGAACAAGTGTTTTTCTTAGAAATACAAACCGAGCGTCTGAAAAAGACTGTTGAACCTCCGTGAAAGCCTTGAGTTTCAGGCGTGGCAGCACTTAGGACTCAGGACTTTATTGAGAAGGACAGCTTCGCACCAATGAAAGAAACTCCCATTGCTTAAAGATTATTAGCCTTATAACTTGAAGCGCTCAATTCATGGCGAGTACGATGTGGCTAATGGCGTGCGACTCCAGAAATTTCGGTCGAGCTCATTTTAAAAGTGGCAAGATCACCAAATCCGCTAAAAACTGTATATAGGGGTAATTCAACATCCTGATCACGAATATGACATTCATTTTTGGCGCTGGCGCTAATGGATGACACTACGGTTACCTGCGCTCTGCTAAGGCTGAGCCCAGAGGTAATCGTAGTTTCGCTCTTGCGCACACAAGTGACATATTCGTAATCAGGATGTTGAATTACCCCTATATACAAGTTTTTAGTGGATTTGGTGACTTAGGCAATTTGAAAATGAGCTCGGAGCCGAAATTTCTGGAGTCCAAACGGCATTAGCCGTCTGCAGAGACTTTACGAAACCGGTGCGAAAATATTTCGGAGATGAAAGTTTATTGCCTGTCATTGCCAATATCAATCACAAACATTACATTGACGTAGCACAGGAAAGTTGTTCTGGAAGTGTACAGTGTGGTTTTCAGATTGTGACACAGTCGACGGGAATCCATGTGTCAAAGTTGACGTCTTCCAAGGCTCCTATTTGTGGACAGATAGATGATATCGACTATAAGGTACGCACCCCCATAATACAAATCAATTCTATTGCCTGAAGAATCGTGATGTACCTTTGCATTGAATTTTGGAAATTGAAGAATGCTTTTTCCACAGAAGAAATGATTTTCAGATACTGAAAAAGTATATCGCTGCCGGGCGAAAAGGACTACAGCTTATCTCTGAATGTCACCTTCCAACCTATTGTGAGATCAAACGAGCCGCCTACCATCTACTATGCAGCGTTTTATGGTGATGCTGTACCATATCCGCGAAAAGAAGAGGTTCTTTCATGTATCGTACAAGAAGTGCTGGGTAGGAAACAACGTGACCTGGGAATCAAACTGACCAGTAAAACTTTGGGCGTTTATAGAGCTTTTCTGAGTTATTACTATGCGACCACCTTTCAGCGACAGAATTATGACTAATTTTGAGCCTGCTAGCATCTGACAAATCGTGGGCTGCAAAATGTGAACGCGAGCTTTATCCTCTCAACCAAGCGCACTTTTGATCAACGGATTTTATGGAGCATTCACTGAATATGAGTCGACATTGACTTCAGCGATGGCGCAGGTGATATTGCTCCTTCTAATCTGGAGGTTACTTGTGAGAGTGAAGTTAAAGACACATGGTACGTTCACACACATTGAGGGCGTATGTGACTGCGTGACCTATCAGCCCCCCCCCCAGCTGTGCGATGTGTCGTGGTATGCCCCGCCCGAAAGTGCACGGGGTTAGAGTGCAGGGCCGTGGGAAAGTCTAATTCGTCCATGCTCCGCCTACCGTTTATGCTAACAGCCGTTCCGCGCGGCGTCCGTGCAGCTCTCTTGGCTTTTTGCCAAGTCCTGTAATTGCGCTTTGTACAAGTACAACGCAATTTCTTTATGCGGATAACATTTTAGGTGCTGCAAAATAAGAACCGAAGATGATGACAAGGTCTATCAAAGCGCATTTTGCGGACTTGGCAAAGTGGCCAAGAGAGCTGCGCGCGACACGCCCGCGCGAACGGCTGTTAGCATAAGGGGAGTCTGCGCCGCAAGTTGCATTTTGGGCGGAGCATGGACGAATTAGACTTTCCCAGGCCTGGTACTCTAACCCCGTGCATTTCGGGCGCGGGAAACCATGACAAGCGTCGACGCTGTGGGGAGGCTAATAGTGCACATTCCACTTCAATGTGCGTGTAAGCGTACCATGTGATCTTTAGGCATGAGCTTCGCTGACCGGCGGAGAAATGGAATTGTAATGGGTTTTTTTTAGAAAACTGCGAAAGTACCTGCCCCCTAACGCAGTAGATACGTAGGCGTGGCGCGTACTTCATTAGAAGCGAAGCAGCAGGCTGTGTTGTCAGTAGGATACTGCCGTTTCGAACTTTTGTATTCACACCATTGTCCAGCGCAAGACAAGAGGACTTTTCTGTCAAATGGATTTATTCCAAGAAGAAGCTCTTTTCTTACGTTCTCTTGCCCCCTTGAAACATCTAGTCCCTGGACATACCGTGGAATTGGACTCCAGAGGGGGTACGATTGTTGGAAGCGGGCACTTTTTCTCAGCATCATTGATGGAGAGGTTACGAGAAGGCGTTCGACCACACCCCCGCAATGCGTTGGGCAGCCTTTCCACCAATGACGCTGGCAAGCCGCCGCCCGCCTCCAGTAATCGTACTCACTGCCTTCAGTTTAACTGAGGATAATGAGTAAAGGAAATACTTTTGTTATATTGCAGGAGGCGTTAGCTGGAGTGAACATGACAAAAGTGATAGCAAACACCACCAACTGCTTACAGTTCGATCAGAATGGATTCTGTCTCGTGAGTTGTTGCCTTCCTTCAGTGAGGAAATGCTAGGAAGGAACAGAGTACTTCAGGCAAACACCGGAAATAATGTGAATGTCAGCGGAATCCACTTTGATAAGCTGTACGGAATCACATTTTGTGCTGTGAAAGATCCTCGGAATCTCACTCTGCCGAGCTTGACTGACAGCAGCAGAGCGGTTCGACCACGAGCTAACAAGATATACGTCGACTCCAAATGTGAGACCCTAGCAGACCTCTGACATGTTCTGGAAGTCAGTCCTCGCGCTCAGCAATTCATAGGCGTCGTCTTTGTTCGAGGAGTCTGGTCCTCATCTCTGAGATTATCCCTCCTTGGCGGTTTGGCAGTATGAATGAAAGTGCTGTGGCCCTCACAAGTGGCAGTTCTGGAGCCTTCCTAGTTGCCCCGCCCACCGAAACTTATAGGCAGCTTCTGTCGCGAATTCACTTGATGACGCGAA